AACAATTATAAGAAAATTTAAAGTTTTTTTTTTTTTTTTTTTTTTTTTTTTTTTGGTCTTTTTGAGACAGAGAACTCACTATGTAGACCAGGCTGGCCTTGAACTCACAGAGATCCACCTGCCTCTGCCTCCCAAGTGCTGAGATTAAAAGTGTGTACCACCATGCCCTGGCCATTTTGTCTTGTTTTTTAAGTATTTTATTATTTTTTAATTTTATATATATGAGTGTATTGCCTGCATGTATGTAAGTGCACCTGTGTTGTGCAGTGCCTGCAGAGGTCAGAAGAGGGCATAGGATACCCCAGAACTGGAGGTAGGACAGTTGTTAGTCACCATGTAGGTGCTGGGAATCAAACCCCAGTCCTTTGCAAGAGCAGCCAGATCAGCCAGTGCTCTTAACCGCTGAGCCATCGCTCCAGTTCCTTGCTTTTGTTCTCCCACCCACCCCAACTACCCACACCCCCCTCATCCTCCTTGTCCTTGTGGGCTCCATTTGGGGAGTGTCCAGGATGGCGACTGGCTCTTGCAGAGTTGAGGGAGGCCTTTCCCGGCCTTTCCCCACCTCTGGGGGTGCACGCCATGGGCTGCCACCATTGTTTTTTTTAAGAGAAGGTCTTATTATGTAGGCCTGAAACTTACTTTATAGACCACACTGGCCTTGAACTCACAAAGATCTACCTGCCTCTCCCTCCCAAGTGCTGAGATTAAAAGCTTGCACCACCATGCCTATCTTACAGCTAAATATATTTTAAATCCAACAAGTATCTAAAATTGGATTGCCCAATATGGTAACCACCACATTTTTTATTTGTTTGTTGAGACAGGGTCTCCCTATAGACCTGGCTGCCTTCTCTCTGCCTTTGGAGTGCTGGGGTTGTGATTGCCACCATGCCTGGCCTTGCACCATGTTTTTAAATTGAATAAAGGTCCAGCACCTAGTCACAAGGTCACATTTTAGTATTCAGAAGCACATGTGGCTGCAGCTCCTACATCGGACTGCACACACTGCATCCTCAGAGCTGTTGGACAGCTCCGGAGGAAGAAGGGACATTCATAGGAAGGCACATTATTTCAAAAATAGGATTTTTTTTCTACTTTCAGATCTGCTGACATACAGCTCTATCTTAAGAGAAAGATAAAACAGATGTAAATACTCCTAAAGTTTAGCTCTGATCAATTCCTGAAATGCTTTCGTGTCTCCCAGTGGCCTTCAGATTGATATGTGAATGACTCTCTGCCTGGCTTTCAAAGCTTCCACATTGTGGGTTTTAGCCATTTCTACCTGTTTCTCTCTGGTCCCTGTTGGAGCTCTGTCAAATGGTCCACTCTTCTCCAAGCCCTGCCCTCCTTCATTCATTCCTTCCATTGATGTCCTCTTCTGCTCCTTTTCCACTTCTTAAAATCCTCCCCACCATTTCTTCCTCCTTGAACTCTCATGGCCTTCCCCTTCCTTCTGCCCTCCCTTTCTAATTAAAGACATTTTCCCTAGCAGAACCAATAAGGACAGCTTGGATGCCTTGGAAAAGGCCAATATGTGATTTTTGTATTATAGTCAAGAAAACTGAGGCTTTCAGAACGGAGACAGCTTGCCTGAGGTCTCCCAAGAGCTTGCCACAGCTCCTTGAGTACAGCTCCTCTCGTAGCAGTTCTCACTCCCGTGTACTTCCAGTCTCTTGGGTTCCTTCCAGTTTTATAATTACCTATAAAGTCTTAAGTGACTAGTGATGCTGACCAAGGGAATTAAGAATGTGAGAGTCTAAAGAGATTTAAGAGATGAAAGCATCAAAATTTGTTTCCTGGTCACTTGCAGGTTTCTGGTATGGTTTATTTAATCAATTTGTTTAGAGTGCAATTTCTGAATTTCTTTTGCAGTGAGCATATATTGTAAAGCTGCCTGAGGTAGGTATTTGCTGAAGGTGGCATCAAATTGATGTGACATCACCAATGAGAGTAAGACTCAGCTGCTTCCTAGGAGCTAACTGAAAGAGAAATACCCTTAGTCCTGTGGCCCAAAAATGAACCCCCAATACTCTTCCCACACAGCCTGAGTCTTGGAGAATAGATTTAGTGGGAGGCATCCGAAATGAAAGAGCTTGCTAGGCCTCCTTCCACAGCTCTGGGTGAACAGTCAGTGTCCTAGAGGGCAGCCTATGTACCTCAACAGCTCAGACACAGTCTAGCTGTTGCCCCATGGACTATATATATATATATGGTTTTGGGGGTTTTTTTGTTTTTGTTTTTAATGTGAATAAGGGTTTTGCCTGCATGTATGTGAGTGCACTGCATGCATGCGATGCCCACAGAGGTCAGAAGAAGACATCATATCCGCTGGAACTGGAGCTACCAGTGGTTGCAAGCTGCCATGTGGGTCCTAGGAATCAAACCCAGGTCCTCTGCAAGAACAGCAAGTGCTTTTAACCTCTGAGCCATTTCTCTGGGCCTGGACTATATTTTTTATTTATTTGTTTTTGTCCCTCCACTCTCAACTACCTTTGAGAGTGAAGACTCAATACATTCTGCATTATCTTTTTTTTTTTTTTTTTGGACCAATTATTTGTAAGAGAGAAGATCCCTGAATCTATTTCCCTACTGTAGGAATGTCTTGTGTGGACTTTGATAACTATTCATAGGTATGTGCTAAAGGTAGTACTTGGGTCACGGTCAGGGGTCCTGTCAGGCCTATGCACTGCTCCCTGCTCTGCCTCATGAGTAACTAACTATCTGTAGGACCTAATCACTGAACTTCTTCCTGCCTGTAGTTGAAAAGAAAAGCTGAGTCCATCAGTCCCAGCACAGAAACAGGTGATCTTAACACAAGTAGAAAGGCTGATTTGTAGCCATAAAAATTGAAATTCTAGGGACTCGAGAGATAGCTCAGTGTTTTGAACGCTAGCTGCTCTTGCAGAGGACCTAGGTTTGATTCCCAGCACCCACTTGGCAACTGACAACCATCTATAACTCCAATTCTAGGGGATCTAATGCCCTCTTCTAACCTCCATGGGCTTTGCATGCACATGGTGCAATTGAGTAAATACAGGCACAACATACATACACATAAAATAAACATAAATAAATCAAAATTTTTAAATTGGGCTGGGTATGGTGGTGCACACTTTTAATCCCAGCACTCAGGAGGCAGAGGCAGGCAGATCTCTGTGAATTCGAGGCCAGCCTGGTTGCAATAGCAAGTTCCAGGCCACCTGGGGCTACAGGGAGACCCTGTCTCAAAAAGACCAAAAAAAATTTTTTTTAATTGGAAATCTGGGCTGGGAGATGGCTCAAGTGCTTGTCATGTAATCATGGGAACCTGAATTTGGAGCCCTAGCACCCAGGGTAAAAGCCGAGAACAAGCCAGGCATGATGTTGTACACCTTTAATTCTAGCACTTGGAAGGCAGAGACAGGCGATCTCTGTGAGTTCGAGGCCAGCCTGGTCTACATAGTGAGTTCCAGGCCAGCTGTGGTTACAGGGAGACCCTGTCTCAAAAGGACCAGAAAAAAAAGCTGAGAACAGCAGTGTGCATCCCAGGGTTGGGGAGGCAAAGAGGCAGATCCCTGAAGCTCACTGGCCAGCCAGTCTAGCATTAGCTCCAGGTTCAATGAAAGACTTAGTCTCAAAAGCTAAGGTGGAAAGCAACTGAGGAAGATACCCAACACCAGCCTCTGGCCTCCACATGTACCCACATGCCTATGTGCACACACACACACACACAAACTGGAATTCCAGCTGTGGTGAATATGGTCAAAGTACATGATATATTTCAAACAAATTGCCCTTATGAACACTATGTACAATTTATGCACCAATAAGATTTAATTAATTTTTTCTTTAATTATTTTATGTGTATGAGTGTACTGCCTGCATGTATGTGAGCAAACCCATGTCATGCAATGCCGTGGAGGTCAGACGAAGACTTTGGATTCCCCTGGAACTGGAGTTAAGGATGGTTTGTAGCTGCCATGTGGGTGATGGGAACCAAACCCATGTCCTCCTCAAGAGCAGTCAGTGCTCTTAACCACTGAGCCATCTCTCCAGCCCCAGATTTAATAATTTTTAAAAATTGGAATTCTCGGTATGGTAGGACCATTTTCAGATAATTTAGTTTTCTTATCTCCAGGAGACCCTGGGATCTCCAGGCAGGACTCCAACAAGAATGCACCACTTGGGTCACCTTTCCTATGCTTTGAACCACGTAAAATCAATGTAATTTTGGGGGTGGTTTTTTGGGGGGGTTGTCTTTTTGAGACAGGGTTGGCCTCAGCTGGCCTGGAACTTACTCTGTAGACCAGGCTAGCCTTGAACTCACAGAGATCTGCCTGCCTCTGCCTCCCAAGTGCTGGGATTAAAGGCATGTGCCACCATGCCTGGGTAATTTTTAAAAATTTTTGTTGTTGTTGTTTTTGTTTTTGATTTTTGGTCTTTTTGAAACAGGACCTCCCTGTACCCCCAGCTGGCCTAGAACTCACTGTGTAGACCTGCCTGGCCTTGAACTCACAGAGATCCACCTGCCTCTGCCTCCCAAGTGCTGGGACTCTTAAAAAGATTTAGAAGGGAGTGGGGGCTGGAGAGATGTCTCAGCAGTTAAGAGCACTGACTGCTCTTGCAGAAGACCTGGATTTGAAACCCAGCAGCCACATGGTGGCTAACAACCATCTGTAACTCCAGTTCCAGGGGATCCACCACCCTCTTCTGACATCCACAGGTACTACACTCATATATATGTAGGCAATATACTCATACACATAAAATAAAAATAACAAAAAGAAAAGATTTGGGGCTGGAGAGATGGCTCAGCGGTTAAGAACACTGGTTGTTCTTGCAGAAGACCCAGGTTCAAATCCCAGCACCCACATGGCAGCTAATAACTGTCTGTAACTCCAGTTCCAGGAGATCCAACAGCCTCTTCTGTCCTCCACGGGCATTGCACAACACAGGTACACTTACCTACATGCAGGCAATACATGCATACACATAAAAGTAGTAAATAAATTTTTTTTTAATTAAAAAAAAAATATTTAAAATTCTTTTTAAGTTGAGACCTACAACAGAGTGTGACTCATTTCCTGTCAGGCTTCTGATCTGGAGCTTGGAACTTGTGCCCTTTCCCTTGTCTCTGCTTCCAGTGTCGAGCTCAAACACTTGGCAGCATGTCTTTTCAGAAAAGAGAGGGGAAGAAGCCTCCCAGCTGCATCTGAAAGCATATATGAACTTGGGCTTGCCAGCGCATGGGTGGAATGTGGGAGGGCAACAGCTTCATCTTCTCTCTCACTCTCTGGTCACCCACTCTCTTTGCAAGCTGGGGTTTGAACCCAGGATGTTAGAGTTAATGCTAGCACTCTGCCACTGAGCCACACCCCCAGCCCCTAAGGTGGATGGTTGTAATTGTCAATGGAAGTTCCTGCTCCTGCCAGGCATGGTGACTCACACCTGTAGCACCAACACTGGAGAGACTGGCACAGGAGGATTTTTAAGCTTGAGGCCAGCATGAGCTACAAAGTAAGACCCTGTCTCACAAATGGAAGTCCCTATTCTTGGCAGGACTTCTACTCTTTCTGTGTTACTGGAATTTCTCAAGCATCATCCATATCTTAATAGCTAGCCCAGCATGGTGTGTACCCCAGTAATCCCAGCATTTGAGAGGCAGAGGCAGTTAAGATCAGAATTTTAAGGCCATCCTTAGCTATATTGTAGAGTTTGAGGCCAGCCTTGGCTACATGAAATTCTTTGTAAAGAGACAAACAAAACGCCGGGCATGGTGGTGCACACCTGTAGTCCCAGCACTTGGGAGGCAGAGGCAGGCGGATCTCTGTGAGTTCAAGGCCAGCCTGGTCTACATAGTGAGTTCCAGGACAGCTGGGGCTACAGGGACACTGTCTCAAAAAACACCAGAAAAAAAAAAAAAGAAACAAACAAACAAAACTCTCATAGCCTTTTCCTATACCCTTAGTAACTGTGCAATGCTTTGAGAATAAGCAGCATGGAGATGTCTGGTTGATGGGACCTTCCTTCCGTAAAGACTGGGTTTTTTCTTAGACTGAAGTCATTCATTCAGTACTTCTTTTGTTTGGTTTTTGTTTTAGTTTTTTATTTTATGTGTATGAGTATATTGCCTGCATGTATGTGAGTGCGCCCTTGTCATACAGTGCCACGGAGGGCTTCGGATTCCCCTGGAACTAGAGTTAAGGACGATTCGTAGCCACCATGTGAGTGCTGGGAATTGAACCCAGGTCCTCTGCAAGAGCAGTCAGTGCTCTTAACTGCTGAGCCATCTCTCCAGCCCCAGGTTTTTGGGGTTTTTTTGACAGTGTCTCCCTGTGTAGCCACAGCTGGCCTAGAACTCACCACACAGACCAGGCTGACTTCAGTCTCAGAGATCACCTGCCTCTGCCTCCCAAGTGCTGGGACTACAGGCATGCGCCACCACACCCGGCCTCATTCATTACTTTTGAAATCCAGGTCTCTCTATATAGTTTTGTACCCCAAATGAATGTCCAGATGTGTCTCTTCACATTGCTTTCTCTGGGCCTGCCATAGGGAAAGATCCCAGAGTGCACTGGCAGAGGAGAAAAGTTACTTAATATTTATGAAGGTCCCAGATGTTCAGGATATTTCACATGACAGTTAGACACTGCCGCTCTGCTTGATAAACCCATACTCAAATTATGAGCACCAGGCCCTGGAAACCACAATCAGACCTTTCACTTCTCTATTTACAGGCTTCCTATGCAAGGCATGCCCCTGTCATACCTGTAGTTCCTCTGTAGCCCCAGCTAACCCAAGAGACTGAGTCGGAAAGTTAGTGGGTTGTGAAGGGAACTTCAGCCAACCTGGCTGCTTGTTTCTTTTCCTTCAGGGGACAGCTTCACCAACAGTGCTGTGAAAAGTGGACTCTGGTTAATGATGAGACCCAAGCTAAGATGGCCCGGATGGCTGCTGCAGCAGCGTGGGGCTTAGGTGAGTCTTCCCCGTGGGCACCTGGCCAAGTGGGGAGAATGAAGCTTGGACTCTGTCAAAGAATGAGATGCAGTGATAGAGGGGTATACCAGTCTGTAGAAATGGAAAGGCCATCTGTGTCCCCCATCTGTCCTTTCTGCCTGATGTTTGTCACTGACTCCTTAGACATGGGGAAAAATGGGTCTTCATGGGGAAGTCAAGGAAGACAGAGAGCACTCTGGAATTGAGATGTGGGTAAGAACATCACTCACTCCATTTTAAGGACTCAGGCCCACAAGACTGTCCTCATGTCAGATGCCAGTTACATGAGCCAGAGTGTGCTTTGTGTCTCTGGTTGACCTTCTGTGAATCATGGTTCACACAGCTTCCTCATCAGGGTCTGCAGTAGTATGCTAGGATACCTCTCAGAATTTAGGGAAACACTCCACTTATGTTTATTGGTCTATTATAAAAAACACAGATGAACAAGTATGTAGGGTGATGTGTAGTAAGTCTGCAGCATAGGAGCCTCTCCCTCTGAAATTGGGGTGCACTGCTATCCTGCCAGCATGTGAGTGTGTTTACCAATTCTATGTCTCATTCAAGAGCAATCTTAATTCATAGATGAAATTCCAGGGTTTTAGGAGCTCTGGGACAGGAAACAGAGACTGGAGTATATTTCTTCTTACAGCATGATGGGATTTTGTTTTTAACAAAATACTGGTTTATTTTTCTGCCTTATAAGTAAAATCCAGACTGGCATTTTGACTCTGGTCAAATAGCTCTTGATAGCCTTTCCCTATTTCTACACTGCATACCTGCTTCACCTCGCCACACGTACTGTCTGTATCTCAAAGGGGACATAAGGAAATAGTTCTGTCTCCTTTTATTTCCTTTTTTTTAAAATATTTATTTTTATTTAATGTGTATGGATGTATTGCATGTAGGTAGATGCAGGTGTGTCATGCAATGCCCTCAGAGGTCAGAAGGGGGTGTTGGAGCCCCTCTTCTGGAACTACAGTTACAGATAATTATTAGCCACCATGTGGGTATTGGGAATCGAGCCAGAGTCCTCTGCAAGAGCAGTCAGTGCTCTTAGCCACTGAGCCATCTCTCCAGCCCCTGTTTCCTTTTTTTTTTTTTTTTAAAGATCTATTTTTAGTTTATCTGTATGAGTGTTTTGCTGAGTAGTGATCACAGAGACCAAAAGAGGGCCTCCTGGAACTGGAGTTACAGGTGGTTGTGAGCTGCTGTGTGGGTGCTGGGAACCAAACTTGGGTCCTGTGCAAGAACAGCCAGTGCTCTTAACCACTGAGCCATTTCTCCAGCCCCCTCATTTTATTTATTTTTGTTTGGGTTTTTTTGTTTTGGTTTGGTTTGTTTGTTTTTAGTCGGGGGTGGGGGGGTTGCTTTTGTTGTTGTTGTCTTTTTTTGAGACAGTATCTCCCTGTAGCCCTAGCTAGCTCAGAACTCGCTATGGAGACTAGGTTGGCCCCAGTCTCACAGAGATCCACCTGCCCCTGCCTCTTGGGGACTGGAATTGAAAGTGTGCCCAGCCCACATATTTAGATTTCTGATCTAGGCCCCAGCTAGAGGCCTTGGCGTTCTTGATGGGAGAGGATAGGAGGATATGGCGGGTGCAAGACTTTACTGTGAGTCAAAAGGAAAGTGGCAACTGCCTACCTCCATCCTATCCCTCTGAGTCACAGAGCTTCTGTCCTTTCTGGACAGGAGCTTGGAGGGGTGGGGGTCAGGGAGCCTGCATCCAGAACAGCTTTCAAAAACAAATTGCTTCCTGAGGAGTCATCCTTTGCTATTTACTTTTGCCCAGAGGCATTGAAAATGGATGAGCCAGTGGTCTGGAGTGAAAGGCAGGAAAATGCCTTGTAAAACCAACAGCCCTGCAGTTTACACCTAATGAGGCTGATGTTGTTTCTGCAGATGGTGTTGGCAGGCCTGGCATTTGATGCCCACTCAGCCTACCAGGGGAAATGCATACCTCTTCCCAGGTGCAGCCATTTCCCCATTCTAACATGACACAAGTACACTGTGTAATGACCCAGCCCATGTTTCCACTATAACAGAACATCTTAAAATATTTGCCTCTTCCCTCCCGAGACTAGGATATTGCCAGAGTGAAAAGGGCAAACAATTTGTCTAAGCCTGCCTTCTGTTTGTATAATGGCCATTTTCAGTTGTTTAGAGGAAAATGTAATTTCCCAGTGTACCACTGAACTGTGATGTGCTCACTCTAGGGAAGCATAGGATTTTACCTTACCTGGAGAAGCCCATGGGGAGTTGTCTAGGTTAATGAGGGGCAGCATTAAACCCACGTGCTGGCTTTGCACTCATGGGCTGCTTCTCTTCTTTTCTGATGCTCCCTGGGGCAGCAGCAGAGTCCATCATTTGGAAGACAGATGTGGCTTTGTTAAGTCAACCCCCACAATAGATGGAGAGCTGCTGCAGGAATTTGGTAACTCAGGCTTAAGTTTATTTGACTTGTTTTGTACACTAAGATGAATGAAAGTAACAGTGACAAAACTTGAGGTTCTGCCTTTATCAAACCCTAACACTGAGCACCCTGATGCTTTCTTGCATTTTATATACCTAGGTCAGTGGGACAGCATGGAGGAGTACACCTGTATGATTCCCCGGGACACCCATGATGGAGCTTTTTACAGAGCCGTGCTGGCGCTGCATCAGGACCTCTTCTCCTTGGCCCAACAGGTAAGACCTCCCTTCCTCCAACAGTACTTTACAGCAAAGAAAATGCTATTACACGTGACTTCTTGGCTCCTAAGCACATGGTGCCTTTGTAAATAAGCCACTGAACTTTGGTTCTGTGAACTCATAGAGTAGCCTTGATGCTTAATATTCACTAGAAGACCACTAGCACACAGGCCAGGGTTATAGTCTGTTCTTGGAATGCTTTGGAAGTTAGTTCCTTGGGGTCATTATCGAATCCTTGCTTAAGCACTCCTTATAGTGTGAGGAGCTGTGAGTTTCACCAAAGGAAGATTTGGAGAGCCAGTTATCCCTCACCATGCATCAAAAATTAGTCATGAGGGTTCTGGCCATACAGGGGCCCAGAGGAATGGTGCACACTATGCTGACTTGCAGAATGCATAATGAAATGATCATAGCCACCTTATCAGGACCCAACACAGTACTTAACCTTAAACATTCAGCAAAGGAAAAACTCCACATGAGGAGCTATAATGATGGCACAGAGTGCAGTCTTGTGGCATCCCTGAGCTGAAGTACATGATAGACTCCCATACCTGGACCTTCTGGGCCAGAGACAAAAATGCTTAGTTTCATGGAGAGCATCACAGAGACACTCCTGTATGAGGATAGGGCCAGTTTGGAAGTCAGAGGGGACTCTTTGGGCCACTGAAGTGCCCAGTCTACTTTTGCCACCTGCCCAGCGAGGAAAGTTAAAAGAAGCCAGATTCCCACAAGCATCTTCTTACTATACAAGAATGCAGTGACTCTGTTCATAGCACACCTCTCCTCTCCTCAACACCCAAGCTTATGAGTAATACCTTAGACTTTCTGCTTTGGGTGCCATATGCCGCTGTCTTTGATGAAGTGTTGGGTAGTGCCCTTCTCTAACCATCGGATCTAGGAAAGGTTTCTACCCTACTTTGATAATTTTTTTTTCTTTCATCACTGGAATTGAAGTGAGACAGATAACTAGTTTGGAAGCCCCTAAAATAACCTTAAACTCCCAAGTGAGGAGGCTAGTTCCAGTGATTCCTTGTTTGTTTCCTAGTGCATTGACAAGGCCAGAGACCTGCTAGATGCTGAGCTAACTGCCATGGCAGGAGAGAGCTACAGTCGGGCCTATGGGGTGAGTGTTGATTAACCTGCATGTTACCACTTTTTTGAGGCTAACTTTAATGAGTGGACTATTGGGGACTCATTGCCTGTTTCTGTGGTCAGCAAATACCCTGACACCAGAAGGAATGGTTTAAGTTCACCCTGCCAGTCAGGTTGTTTGTGCAGTAATTAGGTTGGCATGTGATTGCTTCCATCAGGCCATGGTTTCTTGCCACATGCTGTCTGAGCTGGAGGAGGTTATCCAGTACAAACTTGTCCCTGAGCGACGAGAGATCATCCGCCAGATCTGGTGGGAGAGATTGCAGGTGAGCTGAGAGCGAGTGCCAGTTCCCTCCCTGCCCCTGCCCAGGGCCTGCATGAGCACTTGCACCCACACACCCCCACCCCTCTTTCCTTATCACCCCTCGGGCTCTTCTGCATCATCTACCAAGCAGAACCTTCAAAGATCCTCCACCTCAGCTGTAGCTGTGAGAGATAGCAATTGAGCAGCCTCCTCTTATGCTTTTCTAGAAATAGAAGAGAATGTGTTGAGCAGGTAGCACTTAGAAACATCCATTTGGGAATCTGAACCTCACAGTAGAATCATCTGAAGAGCCACTCAACTTTTCATATCTGGGATATACCCAGGACCAAAACTGAGAACCACTCCTCTAAGTATACTTACTGGCCACCAGCATCCAACTTTTTTTTAATGCGTATGAATGTTTACTTGCATATATATGTGCACCACTTGCAGGCAATGCCCACAGACGCCAGAAGAGGGCATCAAATCCCCTAGAACTGGAGTTACAGATGGTTGTCAGCCATCATGTGGGTACTGGGAATTGAACCCATGTTCCCTGGAAGAGAAGCCAGTGGCTCTTAACCACTGAACCATCTCTCCAGCCCCAGCATCCAACTTTTTTTTTTTTTTTTTTTTTTTTTTTTTTTTTAACCCCACCCCACCCCCCCCCCCCCCCCGCCACCTTTTTTTTTTTTTTTTTTTTTTTTTGGTCTTTTTTAGACAGCTGACCTGGAACTCTGTAGACTGGGCTGGCCTCGAATTCACAGAGATCTGCCTCTGCCTCCCAAGTGCATGCACCACCACACCCAGTAGCATCGAACTTTTTCAACAGAGTTACTTGATGCTATCCACAAGAAGCACCTGCCGATGACAGCTGTTTAGGTTAGAGTCATCTTTGTACTTCTGTTCAGACCTTTTCCATTGTAGTTCCCCTTGTGGAGAATCTTTTCCAAGGCTTCCACCAGCATTTCAGTGTGGTGTTCTGATCATTGTAGCATCAGGAGCTATCAGCTCCAGGCCTGGGAGGGTCTCAAGTACTCTTGGAAAAAGCAGCCAGTCCTTCCACTCCTTGAGTAATTTGAAGGAAGAGATCATCAGCAAAAGAAAAAACAGGCTTGGGGTGTAGCTCAGTGATAGAGCACCTGCCTAGCATTCCCAAGGCCATGCCCACAGAGGTCAGAGGAGGGCATAGGACTCCCCTGGAACTGGAGTTATGGATGATTGTTAGGTACCATGTGGGTACTGGGAATTGAACCTGGGTCCTCTTGCAAGAATAGTCAGTGCTCTTAACCACTAAACCCTCTCTCCAGCCCCTAGCTGTTTCTTTTTAGCCACAGCCACACCATATTCCAATTCTCTCCCAGGCCAGTTAAGTTTTATGCTTCCAGGCTTTTCATAGGCTGTGACAAACTCTTTGACTCCAAGCTGCATTCCTGTCTAGGAAGCTCAGGGCACATTCCACTGGCCAGGAAAGAGCGATGGGCAAAGGGGATTGCTGTGAATACAGTCATTTATGGCTCTGAAGTGAGCACATACAGTTCTTCTCCATGTTTTATTAGTAATTTTAAAATGCCCAGTGAATGTTTTGATGGAAAATTGTCTCCTGGACATTAGAAAGAGTTCCACAGGAAAGCACTTCCCATTTGGATTATACACACCCTGGTGTTTTAAGTGTCAGTAATGGGGTGCGGAGTTTCCAAATCAGAGAGCTGATGAATCTTCAGAGGTTCTAACAAATGGGACTTATAAGTAGAGTTGGAAGGGGCATAGATGGATGGAGTGAGTCCTGGGGAGGGAAGCCTCATGCCTGGCTTTACTGAGTTCAGGTCACTGTCATCACCTTGAGACTTCATGACTTTCCATCTTTAGACAGCAAGATGCTTTTCATCCTACAGGAAGCCACCAGATTTCAGCACGTGGGAAAAACTAGCTGTTAGTGAGAAGTAATCAAAACAATCACTCCATGTACTTTTTCCTGTTTTTCCAACTTCCAAATCATTGCTGTCACCCTCTGTGGGATGAAAAGCTATTATCCAGACTGAACATGAAGACTGCTCTATTGGAAACTTGGCTTTTCTAGATGGCTTGCAGTCAGAACACTCACTGAACTGCCAGGGCTGGAAAACTGCCATCTTTGTGGTCAAATCGTTTTTTTTTTTTTTTTTTTTTTTTTTTTTTTTTTAGATGTCTCCCTGTAGCCCCAGCTGTCCTAGAACTTACTATGTAGACCAAGCTGGCCTTGAACTCACAGAGATCCGTCTGCCTCTGCCTCCTGAGTGTTGGGTCTAAAGGCGTGCACCATTCCGGCATGCTTAAGTCATTTAAGATCCTTAACCAGTGTTTGCCTTGGGGCACTTTAAGAGGTTAGCCTTCCATCTTGGGTTCTCAGGTCAGGCCCAGCTTGAACCCTATCACCTGGAAAAAAACAAATCACTGTCACTGGGCTTTGACCTTATTTCTATACTGGACAGCTCCTTATTTTCATGAAATTCACTCATGAAGTGTCAGATCTCCCCTCGTGAGTGTGACTTTTTATCAGGAAAGGAAAAAAGGGAGTTCACTTAACTCCTAACAATCATGGTACAACAAGTTTGGGCCACAAGATGGCTCAGTGGGTAAAAGAGCCTAATGTCAGGCTTGTTGACCAGGACCCACATGGTAGAAGGAAAGAACTGGCTCATGCAAGTTGTCCCGTGACCCCCATACGCATGCCATGACACCCATGTACACACAGAGATGGCGCAGCAAATAAAGGCACTTGCCACCAAATCAGAGGTTCTGAAAAACAACCAACTCCTCTCAAATTGTCCTCTGACCTCCACATGCACACCGTGGTATGTAGGTGAACAAATACAATAAAATAAATAATAAATAAATAAAATGTTTTTAAAACTCAGCTTAACTCCTTTGACAGTTAACTTGCTCTATTTTGTTCTAATTACAAGAACTCAGGTTCAGTAAGTAAACTAATAGCTACATCCTTTTCTATGTGTACTTTTTTAATCTGAGATGGATAGAAATGAGAATCTAAGGTGGGATGCCCGCACAGACTCTGCCAAGAATCTGGTGCAGGCCTAAGCTGCAACAGCTTAACACGCATAAATGGTATCCGTTTATCAGTAGCATTATTTGAAACTTGAATCCCTTTTTTAACTTTTTTTTTGAGGCAGCGTCTCCCTGTAGCCACAGCTGGCCTGAATTCACTATGGAGACCAAGCTGGCCTCGAACTCACAGAGATCCGCCTGCCTCTGCCTCTGCCTCCCGAGTGCTGGGATTAAAGGTGTGCCCCACCATGCCTGGCTTATTTTTTTATGTGTATGAGTGTATTGCTGGCATGTATGAAAGTACAGTGCCCACGGAGGTCAGAAGAAGGCATCAGATTCTCCAGGAACTGGAGTTACAAACAGTTGTTAGTCACCATGTGGATGCTAGGAAGCGAACCCAGGTCCTCTGCAAGGGCAGCCAGTGCTCTTAACCACTGAGCCATCTCTTTAGGCCCTTGAATTCTGAATGATACATTTTAAATGTAATTTTTGGTTGATGATAGTCATCTTCAACCAGAGACCAAAGTAAAATGTTAAGAATATTTTTTCAGAAGCTAGGGCGATGTCTCAGTTGGTAAAGTGCTTGTCACATAAGCCTTGAAGAACAGTTTGATCCCCATCAGCCATGTAAACAACCAGGTGTGATGACATGCCCCTGTAATTCCAGCGCTGGGGAGGCAGAGACAGGAGGATCCCTAGGGCTTGCTGGCCAGACAGTCTAGCTGAATCATTGAGCTCCAGGTTCAGTGACAGACAAACCCTGCGTAAGAAAATGGGATGGAGAAGCGACTGGGGAGTGGCTAAAGGAGCATTTGCCAAGCCTGATGACTGAATTAAGCCCCCAGAATCCACATGTGGAAGCACAGAACCTACTCCCATAAACTCCTCTCACTTCTACACACGTGCTGTGGCTGGTGCACACCCTCATACACACAAGCACAAGCACACACAAAAAGAAATAAACGAAAAAAATGTTTACAGAGTACATTTCACAGCCCACAAAAGAAATTTAAATAATTTAATTCATTGAGTGTCACCATACTCCTTTGATGTTGAAACTCTTTTCATCTCACTTACAGATCAGTCAGACAGGGTAAGTAACTTGCCCACGGTCGGTCACACAGGAATGACAGAGCAGGGCCCAAGCCTCAGGCCCTTCTGCTTCAGGAGTTGTTGAGGGGAGTAGGAGGCATTTAGCTCATGGTACCCTTCACTTGAGAGAATAGAGTCAGAGTAGGGACTCCTTTTGCTTCAGGGTGGACCTAGCTGCTGTGTGTGGGGATTAAGGTGGAGCAGAGGACAGGTCTGACTCTAGACGGGCCTGACCCTTGTTTCTGACTGTTCAGGGCTGCCAGCGTATTGTGGAAGACTGGCAAAAAATCCTCATGGTGCGGTCCCTTGTGGTGAGCCCTCATGAGGACATGAGAACCTGGCTGAAGTACGCAAGTCTCTGTGGCAAGAGCGGCAGACTGGTGAGAACCCCACCAACCTCGGGGTGGGGTAGTGCTCCTGATTACCTTCGGTCTCTAATTTGTCCTCTTCTTTTTAAAAAGGCTCTTGCTCATAAAACCTTAGTGTTGCTCCTGGGAGTTGATCCGTCTCGGCAGCTTGACCATCCTCTGCCAACAGTTCACCCTCAGGTGACCTATGCCTACATGAAAAACATGTGGAAAAGTGCTCGAAAGGTACGTCCCCACCCACCCAACAGAGGCACCTCCAGAGTGCTCACCGCATGTGCTCGCTGCCGGAAGGAGCCAGTGTCATTGCCACCTACCTACAGTGTTTGGGGTTTCTTTCCAGTTCACAAAGTAAATTGTAGCTGAACATATACCATTGGTCAAACCACTATGTATTGTCATAGCTGTATTTCTTAGTATTCAGAAAGTGCTAGGATATAAAACTATAGTTCCTGCGCCATGAGAGAAGACAGACTATTCGGCACAAAAGTGCTGTATTTATGGAAACCCAGACTAGAGCTTTTACAAGCTCAATCCAGTTTTCTTCTCAGACTTCTGGTCTCCTTTCCTGTCACCAGTTTGGGCTCAAAAGCAGCAAGTTGCAGGGTGTATAATGAGGAAACAGGGAGGGAGTGTTTTTCTTGAAGCCAATGTAGGATTTCCCCTTGTTGCAAACAAGCCATTGGGAGCAATTGTAGTTCTTAGTTTTCATTTTTAAACAATCTCTCTGGATGATGGTACAAAAAAATGGGCCCTGAAGGCAAAACCCCACCTGCTTTGGGTCCCCAGTCCTCACTAAGAGGAGGAGGAACTCCTGGCCTTCTCGGCCCTCTCTGGTCATGCAGTGGTGCCCCGATGAGAAAGGAATGAAAAGTGGGCACTGGAGCCATGGCCATGAGAAGAGCTGTAAAGTAGAAGTTGTACAGGCATACTAGAAGGTTCCTGGATTGGCCCAGAACCTGGCTTTGTAGGTGGTTGACTCTGTGACTCTGAGTACTGCCCAGAGCGGAACCTCTAGCCCTTCGCCTGGGCGCCCAGTCTGACTGGGAGTTTGCCTCATTACTGATGACTTTCTTCAAGTGTGCAGTTTGGGAGTTCCATTTGTTTTTCTTACTTTGTTTTCAGTTTGAACCTCCTAGAACAGGGTAGTTCTGAGTCAAAGCCTGGCCTCTTTCAGGCAAATGAGAAAAACAGAAGGTGCTGGATAGAATGTAGAATGTTTACTTCTCTGTACCCTCAAGTCGTTGTCCTGCAGGCAGCAGCAGGAGACTTTAGATACCTTAACCAAGGAGTGACTTTCATGAAACCAAGGCCCAAATTCTCCACAGTATACAGACTGTTTAGTAGCCTAAATTCTGGTGGGATCTATTTGAAGTGTGCTTGGACTTCAAGCCCAAAGCTAGTGATGTCACATGGTCACAGTGGAGTATCTCCCCAAAGAGAGCTCCTTAGCTCTGCCACTGAGCCAGTCACTCTTGAGCCTTACTTCCGACACTTCACCAAGCTCATTTCTCTCTGCCTTTCCCAAGACAAATGAAAGAGACTAGCAGATCCTGCCCTGCCGGAAGACAGCAGCAATAGGTGTGTGCAGGTTTTTTCTCAGTGACACACAGCAGGGTCTAGACACAAGTTGGTTCCTCTATGATACCTCATTGGCCAAGAACACCATTCTTGGGGCTGATGAGATGGTTCACCGGTTAAGAGCACTGACGACTCTTGCAGAGGACCCAGGTTCAGTTCCCAGCACCCACATGGCGGCCAACCGTCTATAACTCTAGTTCCAGGTGATCCGACGCTGTCTTCTGACCTCCACAGGCATTGCACATGGGTGTGCCTACCTACAGCCGGCAGTACACTCATACACATAAAATAAAAATAATAAAATATTTAAAAGAGAGAACTGGAGAGATGGCTCAGAGGTTAAGAACACTGGCTGTTCTTGCAGAAGACCCAGGTTCAAATCCCAGCACCCACATGGCAACTAACAACTAGGGGATCCGAACCTCTTCTGTCCTCCGTGGACATTGCATGACACAGATGCACTTACCTACATGCAGGCAATACAGGCATACACATAAAATAAAAATAATAAATAAAATAAAATATAAAAGAAAGACGATCATTCTTGCCCTAGACCACCAAGGCATAGGACTCTGGGGAACCAGAATGCTCTGCCCAGCCTCAGCTCTGAGGGCCTGAGAGATCTGCCCCTTCTATTGCTTTGTTTACAGGAGGTAAAGAATTACTTTTCCCCTCTTCTAGAGGATGGATAAAAGAAATTTTAAGGGGCTGGAGAGATGGCTCAGCAGTTAAGAACAGTGGCTATTCTTGTAGGAGAGCTGGGGTCTATTTCCAGCACCCACATAGTGGCTAACAACCATCCGTAACTCCAGTTCCAGAGGAATCCAATGCTCTCTTCTGACCTCTGCAGGCATTGCATGACACAGGTGCACTTAAATACATGCAGGCAATACACTCATACACATGAAATAAAAATAAATAAATAAATAAATTTTTTTAAATTTTTAAATAAGATGCTTTCAGTTTCTTGAAAATAAATTGTCTTATGCTATAGAATAGAAAGATACTGGATTCTTCCATACTCCATAAACTTATATGGGGCTCCATACCCACAGTAAACCCAATACTGGCAGTTTTGTTCAGCCCCTAGTTAAAGCCCCCACAAGGAGTTTAAACAGTCAGCATTGTCAGTGACACATAGCATATGGGCTCCAAAAAGCACCTGGCATGCAAGGCTCCTGGCCTAGTTCCCGCCTGCTTGATGAGCAACACTGTGCAAGTGGAGTTAGCATCCCCTTTCAGTGACTGATCTTTGCTGCACTGCCTCACTTTCTCTTTTGAATCAGAATTAGCACTCCCAGAAGGAAAACTAAAGGGACATGCATCATTTCTCAAGTGGATGATGCTGATAAGCTCAGTTTTCAGAGCTGTGGTGAGACAGGTGGCTCCCTGACTCCAGGGACATCTGTGTCTGCCCCATCCTCACCCATGATTAGCTGTCTGATGAACTTTCACATCATTCTGACTCTGGGTTAAGCACTATCTTTTTTCATTGTTTGTTTTGTTTTTCTGAGGCAGAATCTCACTGTGTAGCCTAGGCTGGCCTTGAATTATTTGTGTCTGTGTGGTACGGTTGGTATGTATGTGTGCATGTGCACACGTGCTTGCATGTGCCATAGATAACACATGGAAGTCTGAGGAGAAGTTGTGGAAATCAGTTCTCTCCTACTACCCATTGTGTCCAGGGATCAAACTCAAGTCATCAGGTTTCACTGACAAGCTCCTTTGCCTGCCGGACCATCTCATTAGGTCCTGACTCGGACTCCAAAGTGCTTCGACTCTAGGCATGATGTATGATGGGCACATGTGCCATAGCACACATGTGAAAACCAGAGAACAACTTGCAGGAGTTGATTCTCTCCTTTCACCATGTGGGTCCCAGGGATCAAGCTCAGGTTGTCAGGCTTAGAGACAAATGCCTTTACCTTCTGAGCCACCTTTCCAGCTCAAAATTTACTTTTGTGGAGGGGCAGGGGAGTTTTTTTTGGTTTTTGTTTTTTGGTTGGTTTTTTTTTTAGGTTTTTGTTACTGGTTTTGAAACAGAGTCTTACTGTATAGCCCTGACAGACTGGAACTCACAGAGATCTGCCTGCCTCTGATTTCCAAATGCTGGCATTAAAGGCATGTGCCATCATATATAGAATAATGGTTTAACTAGGTCAGGAAGGTAGGAGGATGTAATCCAGTTCCAATCTGGATGTTCTGACAGTGAAAGGAAAGCTGTTAATTACAGGGATGAATTGGAATAAAATAGTCTCTCCCTAAAAATCTAGGACTTAAGGTCATCCCTCTTTAGCCCTTGTGCTGCCCAAGACCACTGGTGTTGGCTTGTTTTGTTTTCAGAATTTTCCCATGTTGCAGGTCTAGAACAGGCTTCTTAAGCTTTTTCCACTAGTGACCCTTTTTCACTGGAGAAATTTTTATACAACCTATGCGGGTACATAAAATAGGTATGCAAGTGTGCTGGATAGCTTTAGTGTCAACTTGACACACCTGGGTTGAGGGAGCCTCAATTGGGGAATTTCCTCCATTGGACTGGCCTATGGCCATGTCTCCAGGGCATTTTCTTGATTGTTGAGTGATGTGGGAGGGTCCAGCCCACTGTGGGTGGTGCCACCCCTAGGCAGGTGGGCCTGTGTTGCATAAGAAAGCAGGCTGAGCAGGGGCCAGGGGAGCAAGCCAGTAAGCAGCATTCCTCCGTGGCCTGTGCTCCAGCTTTTGCTTCCAGGTTCTTGTCCTGAGTTCCTATCTTGGGCTCCCTGATGAACTGTGACCTGGGAGATGTAAGCTGAATAAACCCTTTCCTCCCCACGTTGGTATTGGTCAGAGTGTTTTGTCACAGCAATGAAGAACAAACTAGGACAGCAAGTCATGAAGAAAAATTTTTAAGATTTTTTTTTTTTTTTATGTGTATGCATTTGTGTGAATGGATGCCACATGTGTGCTGGTGCTGGGACCAGAAGAAGGTGTCAGATCCCATGGAGCTGGTGTTAGAGACCATTGTGAGCCTCCTGGCATGGGTGTCGGGAACCAAACTGAGGTCTTCTAGAAAAATACCTAGTGCTCTTAACCACTGAGCCATCTCTCCAGCCCCATATTTTTTTTTTAATATTTTATTTAGCCGGGCATGGTGGCGCATGCCTGTAGTCCCAGCACTTAGGAGGCAGAGGCAGATGGAGCTCTGTGAGATCAAAACCAAGCTGGCCTACATAATGAGTTCCAAGACAGCTGGGGCTACAGGGAGACCCTGTCTCAAAAAGACCAAAAAGTAAAAATAAGATAAAATAAAGGACCAAACTTTAGTTCTCAGCACTTATGTGGTGGTTAACCACCTTCTGTAACTCCAGTTCTAGGGAATGCAGTGCCCTCTTCTGTTTTCCATAGGCACTACACAAACATGATGTACTAATCACTTGCAAGCAAAATACTCATGCACATCAAATAAAATATTTTTTAATTTAAAACTAATAATAATAATTCTTTGGTGCTAGGTATAGTGGTGCATGCCTTTAATTCCAGCATTTGAGAGGCAGAGGCAGGCTGATCTCTAAGATGAAGGCCAGCCTCACCTACCAGGCCAGATATAGCCCATGCCAGGGCTACATAGTGAGACCCTGTCTCAACAACAAAAAGGACTAGAGAGATGGCTCAGCGGTTAAGAGCACTGGCTCCTCTTCCAGAGAACTTGGGTTCGGTTCCCAGCACCCAGATGATGGCTAACACCCATCTGTAATTCCATTTCCAGGGGATCCAACACCCCCTTCTTACCTCCACAGGACTTGCACTCATGTGGTACATTTACGTACAAAACACTCATACACATAAAAAAAAACAAACAAAATATTTAAAAATAAATAAATTTACAAAAGGAAAAATTCTTTAATATATATATACTTTTACCATTTATTAAAGACAAAAGCAATTGTATACTGATGAGATGGTTGTGCTTGTTTATTTTTGCATGAAGAATTTTCTCTTGGCTGAATATTTGATACTATAGAATATAGACCTCTTCAACATTCTTCGGGGCTTATCAGTATTTGATTTTATAATTGTCAGTGCTGAGTGTACTGCTTTGTATAAATACTTAGTACAGCTAGGCATGGTGGCACACACTTGTAGTCCCAGTACTCAGGAGGCAGAGGCAGGTGGAGCTCTGTGAGTTCAAGGCCAGCCTGGTCTACATAGTGAGTTCCAGGCCAGCTGGGGCTACAGGGAGACCCTGTCTCAAAAACACCAAAAAACAAACAAACAAACAAACAAACAAAAAAACCTAGTACAAAATGGCATGAAAATAGGGTTAGAGCTATTTTGGAAATAGTTGGAAATTCTGCCAAAATTCATTGAACAATTTTTCTTTTAATCTTAACACCAAGCCTGATGACCTGAGTTTAATCTCTAGAACCTACACATAGAAGGAAAGAACTGACTCCTGCTCCTGCACATTATGGTCTGACCTCCACACACGCGTCATGGCAAAAGTATGCATGTGTGCACACACAAAAATAAGTATATAAACGTGTAAATAGTAATAATGAAAGCATACTAGTACTTTGCAATTAAAAAATATGCTTCGATACATGCTGAGGAATGGTGGTAAGAAAATATTGAACAGAGCGAGAGGGCTGGCTCAGAGGTTAAGAGCACTGGCTGCTCTTGCAGAGGATGTGGGTTCAGCTCCCAGCACCTACATGACAGCTAACAACCATCATAACTTTAGTTTTAAGGTGTCTAACGCCCTCTTCTGGACTCCATGTGCATTGCTCATAGGAGGTGCATTTGTATACATACAGGCAAAACACTCATAAACATAAAATAAAAAAACAAAATTTTTTAAAAGAAAGTATGGAAAACCTATGTTTTCCATCATTTAACCATATGCTTTTACATGAGCAGAAAGCTTCATGTGCACAGTAGAGACCCTGCAGCTCATTTCATAGAGTAGTTTGGAATGTGAGCCAAGGTGCTTGAAGTGGTGTTTTTTTGTATTGCGTGGTATTAGGGCTGACATATAGAGTGTGAACCACATGTTGTGTGTCCAGAATCAAGGCTGTAGTGAGGTATCACAAACAAAACACAAAACCGTGGGCCCTGCATCAAGACGCTGGCCTGTCTGGATGCAGCAGGCTTGGACAGTACTTCAGATCTGGCCTCTGCACCGCTCTTACCCCTTGGGGCTGTCTGCTCCTAACTGGATGCCCACTGCTTGCTTCATATAAGACCCCAGATCTAACTGCTGGAGGGTGCTATGAAGACTCTGCTCCCCAGCCACCCTGCCCACCTAGACATTTGCCTAGCTAGTGTCCTCTCCCTTCTCTACTTGGACGAACGCAGGCCTTCTCTGTTCTTTTTGGGGTGTTGGCTTTGCTATGCTGGAGCATCCAAGTGTCATCATGTTTGAAACAAATACTAAAGTTTCACTCACCTAAAACAATTCCCCATAAGCCTAATTTTGGGGCGGTCTATTGCTAGTGAAGTAAGCACTTGTTTCAGATTGCCTCGCATGGATTGTTTGTGTTGGCCAAGCATGTAAGTTTTCTAAGACCTCTTAAACTGGTGTACGCTTGACAAAGGAGAGCTAAGACTTGAGTGAATCATGAATGTTCTAGAATAGCCCGGCTCTCTCCCAGCATCATGCCCTGTTCTGTGCAGTGAGGTCCTCTGCTGTGTCCTGGGATGCTCTTTTGGAGAGGGTTGACTTATGTGCCTGGCAGGTTGAACCACATAACAAGTGGCTCTCTGTGCCTCTGTCCTGCAACAGATCGATGCCTTCCAGCACATGCAGCACTTTGTTCAGACCATGCTGCCACAGGCTCAGCATGACATCGCCTCTGAGGACCAGCAGCACAAGCAGGAGCTGCACAAACTCATGGCCAGGTAAGTGTCCACTCCATCATCCCAACGGCTTCTCTGGGGGACATGTAGGTCCCCTGAGGTGATTTGCTGCTGACATCTCTCACTTTTTCACAGAGGGATTCCAGGCAGTCACCACCTCATCTGCTCCACAGTCCCTGTCCCTTACCTTCCCAGGCTTCAGCAGCAAGAGCACCCTTGTGCTATTCTCCTCTTAGTGCCTGGCTTTAGGGTTGGGTTCCTTGTTTTCAAACATTTGTCTTTTACACGTATTTACTGTGTGTGTACACTCACAAGTACATACACATACACATGAATATGGAAGTCAGAGGACAACTTGCAAGAATTGGCTTTCTCTACCATGTGAGCTCTAAGAATTGAACTTGGGTCATGAGGCTTGGTGGCAAACACCTTGGAGGTGGAGCCCAGGCTCCTTGTTTTCAAATAGCACACACACTGCTAGTTCAGTATGTGGATAGGTTAATCTCTCTGTGCCTTAGTTTCCTGATCACACAGAAGGGATGGTAAGAGTACCTGTTTCCTCGAGTGCTATAAGGCAAAGTAAGCACCCAACATCAAGCACTGAGAGCAGTACCTGGAATAGGGCAGCAGTAGGAGATGTTATCATTGTCGGGAATGGAGGGAAGGAGAAATGAAGATGAAAAACAGCACGCAGCTGCCCCCATATAACTTGTTTGGGATAAATAAGACCCTGGTTCATGCTGTCATTGGAAGATACAGGTCCTGAAGGAAAAATGAAACCTCAGAAAGTTTCCACAGACCCTTTCCCCTCCCCTTCACTGGGCTGAACATTTTATTCCATTCTATCACATCCCACTAAGAGCAAGAGTAAATGTCAGAACAGCTCTAGGGCACCCCTGGCAGCCTGTTGTCTCCTCAGGGGCCTTTCTTTGATGGGGAGGAAGCAGCAGGGGCTTGCTTCTCTGTTTTCAGGTGTTTCCTGAAGCTTGGGGAGTGGCAGCTGAACCTCCAGGGCATCAACGAGAGCACCATCCCCAAAGTGTGGCAGTACTACAGCGCAGCCACAGAGCACGACCACAGCTGGTACAAGGTGAGGGAGGGCCTGTTTGATTCCCTCCATGGCTCCCACAGCCAGGCCTCTGGGAGCTGGTCTGAAGCTTCAGCCTTGCTCCTGGGTTCCTGGCGCCTGTCCGAGCCCAAAGGAACCTGGGCTTTCCTTCTTGAGGTTCAGAGAAGCAGACAGCTGTTTGAGACTTTGAGAAATGCCGCTGTGACGCCTTGTGGGCTGTGCAGCTTCATCACCTCCCAGCAGCCTGTTTCCTAGGGGCATCTGGGCACGCTGATCTCTACAACTTCATCTTTCCTCCCAGCTTCTCTCCACTTCATCCCTGCCTACGCCTCTGCTGAGAACTGAGGTTTTGGTTTTTATTGGAAAGATCCAGATGGCATCCTTTTATATTACAGGAACTCTTTGTAAAAGACAAGCAGAGTTAGAAAATGTATAAAAGATGTGACTGAAGGCCAGGCATGGTGGTGCACGCCTGTTGTCCCAGCACTTGGAAGGCAGAGGCAGACGATCGCTATGAGTTCGAAGCCAGTCTGGTCTACATAGCGAGTTCCGGCCAGTTGGAGCTACAGGGAAACCCTGTCTCAAAAAAAAAAGATGTGACTGGCCAGTGCAGGGATGCCTCTGGGAAATATGTGTCTGAGGATGGGAGCACCTACTCCATTTTTTAAATTCCTTTTCTGAGGGCCTCCGAGTAATAGGTGCTTGGTAGAACAGATGTTATCGGTTTCTTTCCCAAATCTCCATAACTTATTAATAATACTTTATAAATTAATCCCTCTGGAATCAAACTTCATCTAAAGACCATAGAAGCATTTACAAATCTTATCCTCTAAAAATGCCCACTTGGGCTGGAGATGTATACAACTCAGTGGTAAAGCATTTGCCTATCACTCACCAGGTCATGGGTTCCAAGCAACAGGTCACCCAGAACATCCCAGTTCTAGGAACTCTTCTTCTCAGTATTTTTGTTATTGTTTTGGTTTCCATGTTTGGTTGGTTGATAGGTTTTTAATTTTTTTTGAGGCAGGGTCTCATGTAGCCCAGACTGGCCTTGAACTTAGTAAGTAGCTGAGAATGAACTCCAGATCATCTTTTCCTTGCCTCCCGAGTGTTGAAATTACATGTGTGCATCACCACATCTGACTAGTTTTAGTTTTTAAAAGCATCTCCTAATGTGGTCTCTTTGGTTTTATGACATCTCATATCATCAGTCTCGTAGCACTGTGCATGCAGCACTGTTGCCTCTGTTGACCTTTTCCCCTGGCACTTGGACATTTACAAGAGGAGTTTGTTAATAAATGAGGGCATGAGAAAACTGAACCTGCATGGTTACAGAATACTTACTCATCACATAAAAGTCAGTTAGGATTCATCTATTCTACTTAAATGAAAGTCAATTAGGATTAGTCTATTCTGCTTAAATGAAAAACTGGACATGTTTATTTTCAGGTCTTGAGAAAGGGACACAGAAGAATTTGCTAGTTGTATAGAAAGTTTCAGTGTTAGTGGGCTACTCACTGTGTAAAGTTACCATACCCCAAGTCAGACTCCACCTCAGTCTGTCCACGCCCTGCAGTGATGTACCACAGATTGATAGGAGCTCAGAGAGGCAAACAGTCCTCTTTTGTCCAAAGTGGCAGCAAACTTCTGGAGAGCAGCCATGAGACTCTGGCTCTCTGCCAGGCTTATAGGTGAGTCAGTGTACCCTCCCTCATGGTCCTGTTCCCTCCATGCATGTCCTTGCCCACTATCATTTGATCTAGGGCCATCTCTGGGCGTGGTGGCACACACTTGTAATCTCAATACTAAGGGTTCTGAGACAGGAATATCTCAGGTTCAAGGCCAGCCTGGGCCACAGAGCAAAGCCATTTCCAAAACCAAAGAATTAATCAGAACTTACTGTCACTGCTTTGAAATACTGTGGCAACTGGTTGCTTCCCCAACCTCTGCTCACTTAAACACTCTTGTATCATACATTTTAAACCCAGTAAGCCCCATTTTCTCACAGATGACGTGACAGCTTTGGCCCAGCACACCTGTTCCTCTGTCGTCGGCTCAGGCACTTTGCCAGCCTTTCTCATTCTCCCTCATGGGTCCCAAGCTGCAGGCTCATGGCTTTCACGGACTCTTGGTGCTTGTCCTCCAGGCACCTATGTATGCACTGTTCTCCAGCAGGAAGACCCACTGCCATGTCTCTCTTGTCCCTTCTCACTCATCTGCAGCATCTCTTCAAAGCTCAACCATGTCCCTCTTTATGAAGCTCCTCCCGTCCCTGGCACTCCCATCATCTGCCTTGCAGAGTCTATAGGTCTTCAGATTTGTGAGCAAGTTCCTTCTGAGGCCTAAAGATCCCTCAGGACAAGGAGTATACCCTGCCCCTCTTGCAGTGACCCTATAAGACTCATCAGAAGAGTGAAGCCATTGATACTCACAAGATTGGAGTAGCATGTGGATTTCAGTAAAATGCCCCTTCCTGGGTGTTGTGGAAGTGGAGTCTTACTCTCCTGACTTCAAGGCGGCCCCATCCTCAGACTGGATTCTCAGGTCATCACAGCCCTGCCTCGGCACCAGCCTCACATGCACTAAGCCCTGGGTCAGTCGAAGCAGCCTGTGCCTGCCCTTGACTCTTGCCTCTTGCACCTAGGCCTGGCATGCATGGGCAGTGATGAACTTTGAAGCTGTGCTACACTACAAACATCAGAACCAAGCCCGAGATGAGAAGAAGAAACTGCGTCACTCCAGCGGGGCAAACATCACCAGTACCACCACGACAGCCACCACAGCTGCCGCTGCTGCTGCTGCCACCAGCACAGAGGGCAGCAACAGCGAGAGTGAGACTGAGAGCACAGAGAACAGCCCCAGCCCATCCCCTCGGCAAAAGAGGGTCACTGAGGTACCCTTCCCTCCTCGTCGGTAACCGGTCAGAGCACAGCTAAGCAGTGGGCAGAAAGCCTCAGGCTTTCTCTGAGGGTACAGTAGAGCTGGACACATTGCCCGGCTATTTGCGCTGCATGTCAGAGGCCATGCTCTTTGAGCGTGTACATGTTGGGGAGCTGCTGTTGGTGCTAAAGGCTCCTGTTGTGCTTCCTACATGAGCTCATCCTCTCCATGCACAAGCCCATGTGTGGGTGGCTACCACAGCTGCAAGTCCACTCTGGACAGGGATCTTAGGGATCTGTCCTCTGCCCTGTCTACCTCCCCTTGGCCTGTCAATACAGAATGCAACAAGGAAGCCAGCAGGCCAAGAGACCAGCATGCTCAGAGCCACAGCCCCACTCCTGACCTCCCTTGTCGGGAAGCCACACTACACCAAGACATGATTATGAAGCACTTGTCACTTGTAGAGTGCGCTGTGTGCTATAGATAGGTTTTTCATGCACAACTGGCTTTACACTTAAAACTACCTTCTTAGGCAAGTGCCGTCAGTCTGCTACTCTGCCCATTTCACAGATGAAAAGGTTGAGGCAAGAGTGTCTCTAATACATATGTGTTCTCACAGGATTTGTCCAAAACTCTCTTAATGTACACTATCCCTGCTGTGGAGGGCTTCTTCCGTTCTATCTCCTTGTCAAGAGGCAACAACCTCCAGGATACACTCAGGTATGAAGGAAGGGAGGATGTAACTCTGGGAGGCCTTATCAGTGGCAGGACTTAAGTCACCCTCTGGTCTCTGTGGTTCCCACCCTGGTCATTACATCCTGGGTTGGCATATGGATTTCTCTCCCTGCGTCTTGAGGCATGGTAGCTGCGTAAGCCCCGTGTGTGAGGCTGAGAGCCAGAAACATTGAGGAGAAGTAAAGAGCTGGAGGCGGTCTGTCACCTTTAGCCTTGGTCCTGACTGGCCTGACCCACCAGGCCTTCCTATTGCCCATGCAGGCGTCTCCTCTCAACACAGACTGCAAGTCTCAGGTCACCCTGCTCAGCTTATCTGCTCTGCATCAGTTTGTGCCACAGTGACCCTGACAGTCCTAGGAGGAAGTACTTGGGGTGATCTTTGCAGAGCACTCAAGAGCTCTGCCCCCATCACAGCCACTCCACAACCTTAAAGGTGAAAAACAGGCAGAAACAAGGAAACAGAATGTCCTGTGACTTTCTCCTTTGTCTTTCCCAGAGTCCTCACCCTGTGGTTTGATTATGGTCATTGGCCAGATGTCAATGAAGCCTTAGTTGAAGGGGTGAAGGCCATCCAGATTGATACTTGGTTACAGGTGAGACTGGGTCACATTCTCCTGGGTCTCCTCTTGGATTCCTGCAGTGATCATGGTAGCAAAGCTGCCTGTGTAATACTGCGATGAGGAAGCAGAGCCATGTCTAAGGTCTAGTGAGACTCCATCTTCTCTCTTTTTTTTTTTTTTTTTCTTTTTGAGACAGGGTCTCCCTTTAGCCCCAGCTGGCCTGGAACTCACTATGTAGACCAGGCTGGCCTTGAACTCACAGAGATCCGCCTGATTCTGCTGGGACTAAAAGCATGCGCCACCATGCCTGGCTCCATATTCTGTTTTACTTGTGCTAGAGGACTAAATGAAAGAACCATCTCAAGGCCTACCAGATCAAACAGAGCAGCTTGCAAGAGCTGATCTTCAGCTGGGTTTGGTGCCACATGCCTTTAGTCACAGAACTTGGGAAGCAGAAGTAGGTGGGTGTCTGTGAATTCGGGGTCAGCCTGGTCTACATAGTGAGTTCCTAAGACCCTATCTCAGAAGAAAAAGAGGGCCAGACGTGGTGGCACACGCCTTTAATCTCAGCACTTGAGAGGCAGAGGCAGGCGGATCTTTGTGAGTTCAAGGCCAGCCTGGTCTACGTAGTGAGTTCCAGGACAGCTGGGGCTACAGGGAGACCCTGTCTCAAAAAGACAAAAAAAAAAAATTGATCCTTGGCTAGGCATCGTGGTATGTGCCTGAAATCCCAGCACATTGGAGGTAGAGGCAAAAGGCCAGCCCCAGCTACATATCTAGTTTGAGGCCAGCCTAGGCTACATGAGACCCTGTCTCAAAAAAAGGAGTCAGTCTTTAATCAGAAGAATAACTAGGTTTGTTTCCACATCTCATGCGCTGCATTTTGTGTCTTCTTACGTGCCAGGTTATACCTCAGCTCATTGCAAGAATTGATACCCCTAGACCCTTGGTGGGCCGACTTATTCACCAGCTTCTCACAGACATTGGTCGGTACCACCCCCAGGTATGTGCAGCCCCTAGGAAGTTTCTCATGAAACCAGTAGTCTTTGGTTTAATGGCTAGCTTTTGCTAAAGCTGCTGGAGAGACACAAGCATCAAACTGGGAGCCAGGCACTCATCCTACCCTGGGTGTTGGGGGATATCTGTCCAGGTCATAGGGGTCTGGCTCACAGTGGCCCAGGAGCCTTATCCTCCCAAATAAGGTCACCCCTTCCTGATACGTTGGTGTGTTAATGCCACCCTCACCACTTCTTTCCATCCTCCTGAAAATACATTAGGTTCCTTTTACAAGTTGCTTTGCAAATGTTCCTCTGTTTGCTTCAGGCCCTCATCTACCCCCTGACAGTGGCTTCCAAGTCTACTACGACAGCCCGTCACAACGCAGCCAACAAGATCCTGAAGAACATGTGTGAGCACAGCAACACTTTGGTCCAGCAAGCCATGATGGTGAGTCTGAAGCCAACACAGCCCCCACTGACCCAGCCGCCATCCTGGGATGTTGGGAGATTACTCTCGACCGTCCTGCACTCTTCCTTTGGCCGCCAGGTGGTCTCTCCTGTTTCTCCCAAGTCAGACCTTCTCACGTGTAGCTCATCTTCGGTGCTTCCTTCCTCCTCCCTCTGATCCAGGTGAGTGAAGAACTGATCCGAGTGGCCATCCTCTGGCATGAGATGTGGCATGAAGGCCTGGAAGAGGCATCTCGTTTGTACTTCGGGGAGAGAAACGTGAAAGGCATGTTTGAGGTGCTGGAGCCCCTGCATGCTATGATGGAACGGGGCCCCCAGACTCTGAAGGAAACATCCTTTAACCAGGTATGGAGTAAGAAATCGTACAAGGACATTGCCCACACCTTCACCACATGCTTGCCCTTTGGCCTTTCTACTGCCCTTAATTAGATGCACTCCTGCAGAAGTCACAAACCAAAAATTCGCCATGTGCCAGGCCTTGGGGTATATGCCTGTAGCCCTGGTACTCTGGGCAGGAGAATTGCAAACAAAGCAAAACAAAGACACTAGAAATAGAAATATCACTAGGTTATGATTTGGTTTTGTTTTTTTTTTAATTTTTTAAATTGCATTTTTTAAAAAATTTTATCTTATGTGTATGAGTGTATTGCCTGCATGTGTGTAAGTGCACCTGTGTTGTGCAGTGCCCATGGAGGTCAGAAGAGGACATTGGATTTCCCTAGAACTGGAGTTACAGATAGTTGTTAGCCACCATGAGGGTGCTGGGAATTGAACCTGGGTCCTCTGCTAGAGTAGTCAGTGCTCTTAACCACTGAGCATTGAGCCATCTCTCCAGCCCCCTTAAATTACATTTTTAGTGTACGTGTGTGTGTGTGTATACATATGGAAGAGGACAATTTGCAGGAGTTCGTTCTCCTTCCACATGGGTCCCAGGGATTGAACTCAGGTGCCAGGCTTCACGGCAGGAACCTTTGTCATTCAGCCATCTCACAGTCCCATGATATGTTTTTATTTTTGTTTTATCTTCTTTCTGTGCTGAGGATTGAGCCCAGGGCTTCACATATGTCAGGCAAACACTGTTCCACTAACCACGCCATGAGCTGCTGATTCCTCCAGAGGTTATCAATAACTTTCCGTTTCCCAGTAGATCATCTAGGGGACTCAGCCACTGTTGCTCACCAGTTCCCTCTGGTACTTGCAGGCCACAGTGGGCGCCTTCAGTATCTATGTCTGATCAGGGATTTAGCCTCCTGGCATCAGGGCTGCCTTGATAACTTGAAATTTTGTCCCGTTTTCCCTCTCAGGCATATGGTCGAGATTTAATGGAGGCTCAAGAGTGGTGTAGGAAGTACATGAAATCAGGGAACGTCAAGGACCTCACGCAAGCCTGGGACCTCTATTACCATGTTTTCAGGCGGATCTCCAAGCAACTGCCCCAGGTAGGCTCCTGAGGCATCCAGTAGGGTTTTCTGTCAGCAGAGCCCTTTGTGTTTTGCTACTGTGAACTCCTAGGCTCAACATGTGTGTCTGGTTTCCCTTCTGAAGGTTTTTGAAGAAATAATTGCTTATAACCATTCACTGAAAAAGAAAATACTTAAATTGCATTTCAGTTTTTCTCCAGATGCAGAAATCTAAATCCTTCTGTAATTATTCACAGCTCACATCCCTAGAACTGCAGTATGTTTCCCCAAAGCTTCTGATGTGCCGGGACCTTGAGTTGGCCGTACCAGGAACCTATGACCCCAATCAGCCCATCATCCGCATTCAGTCCATAGCCCCATCTTTGCAAGTCATCACATCCAAGCAGAGGCCCCGGAAGTTGACTCTGATGGGTAAGGACTGCACTCCTCCCTTCCCAGGCCTGCTGAGTCCCCTCCTCTCCAAGATGACTGCCTGCCATTTCAAAACCTATGGCACAGGAAGGGAGGACAATGAATCTCCTCTTCCTGTCTCCTCAAGGCTCCTTGTTGACTTAAACAAGTGAGGGTGGTGATCATTTACCATTCTTTACCATTCAGTTGTGGTAGGCAGCTGTGGGGAGCTGATGGCGCCAGTGAACGTGTCTGAGGCAAACATGGAATGTGACAAGCTGCTTTGGAGACAGAGCTTCCAGGCTCTTGACTAGTCCTTGTTCACCATCATTGCCTCTGTGTGGGAGACAGCTGTCTAAAATGAAGGCTCTGAACTTAAATTCTCACAGTAAGATTTGTTAGCTGCTGCCTCTAGAATTTTCTTTAGAGGTAGAATGTTGTCTACCTGGGGCAGTTAAGGGAAGCTGAGTACTGTGCTGGCACTATGAGGTCTCTTGCTCCTTTGCAGGGCAGGGAGGAGTTTTGAACTGGGTCTCATTCTGTAACCCTGACTGACCTGTATTCAATATGTAGCCCAGCCTGGCCTTGAGCTTGTGGCGATCCTCCTGCCTTTGCTTTCCAAGTGCTAGCAATTACAGGCAGGTGCCACCACGCCTGACTTTCATACCACATGCGTGCAAGCTTGTGTGTGTCATGCACACAGAGGCCAGAAGAGGATGTCAGGTATTCCCTGTCACTCTGCCTGCTCCTTTGAGGCAGGGTCACTCCCTGCATGTGGACCTCTCTTTTTCTAAGCGAGGCTGGAAGTCATCAAGTCCCAGCAATCTTCCTGTCTCTGTTCCCCCTTGGAGCTGGGTTACAGGTCTGTATAGGACACCTGGCTTGTTTCGTGGGCACCTGGCTTGTTATGTGGGCACTTGGATTTGACCTCCACACCCCATGATTGCACAGCAAGCACTCTTTTTTTATTATTATTATTTTTATTTTATGTGTATGCGTGTATTGCCTGCATATAGGTAAGTGCACCCATGTCATGCAATGCCCGCGGAGGACAGAAGAGGCTGTCGGATCCCCTGGGACTGCAGTTATGGACAGTTGTTAGCTGCCATGTGGGTGCTGGGATTCGAACCCGGGTTTTCTGCAAGAACAGCCAGTGTTCTTAACCTCTGAGCCATCCCTCCAGCCCCTACAGCAAGCACTCTTAACTGCTGAGCCATCTCTCCAGGACCCAGCTTCTTCTCATAGAGCTTGTTTGGAGGTTCTAGTAGGGGAAGCACAGCCACTCCTTTTTGACAAAGCACACAGCTTCGAGAAGGATGCACATGGAATAGTAAGGGGAAAGAGAGGACACCTGCCTAGCCAGCCAGATCCGGCAAACCAACTCTTGCCTTCAGTGGGGTAGCAGATGTCTCAGCCAAATCATCCTCAAGTCCTTTATTACTCAATACAGCTTGTTTCTGGGATGGAAAGATGGCTCAGCAGTTAAGAACTCAAATTATAACCAGGCATGGTAGCACATGCCTTTAATCCCAGCACTCAGTAGGCAGAGGCAGGTGGATCTCTGTGAGTTTGAGGCCAGCCCGGTCTACATAGCAAGTTCCAGGCTAGCTGGGGCTACAAGGAAACTCTTGTCTCAAAAAAAAAAAAGAATGTGTAGTCTTTCTACAGAAGTCCTGAGTTTGGTTCCCAGCACCCATGTTAAATAGCTCACAACTACATATAACTCCAACTCCAGGGGGATCCAATACCTTTGGGCACCCACACACGTGTACATACCTACACACAGATACACACATATACATAAGTAAATAATAAATCTTTTTTAAAAAATGCTTGTTTCGGCCAGGCATGGTGGCGCACGCCTTTAATCCCAGCACTTAGGAGGCAGAGGCAGGTGGATCTTTGTGAGGCCAGCCTGGTCTACATAGTGAGTTCCAGGACAGCTGGGGCTACAAGGAGACCCTGTCTCAAAAAGACCTCCCCCACCCAAAAAAAAAGTCTAAAAAATTTAATTACAGAAAACATAAAACAAAAAACAGCCAGTTTTTTTGTGAGAAGCTCTGGTCTTTGTTAAGTTCCCTCTGTTCCTCACAGGCAGCAATGGGCACGAGTTTGTTTTTCTCCTGAAAGGCCATGAAGATCTCCGGCAGGATGAGCGAGTGATGCAGCTCTTTGGCCTAGTGAACACACTCCTGGCCAATGACCCAACATCTCTTCGGAAAAACCTCAGGTATTCAGAGCACTGGGAGAATGGCAAAACTCTTAGGAGACCTCCACATTTCTAATACATCCATTCACATAGTCATGTGTCTTTGCAAAGTTTTTAAAATGAGGTGCATGAGCCAGACATGGTAGTGCATGCCTATAATCCTAGCACTTTGGGAGGTAGAGGCAAGAGAATTAAGAGTTTAGGGCCAAGGGCTGGCTGGTGAGATGGGTCAGTGGTTAAGAGCACTTCCTGATCTTCCAAAGGACCCAGGTTCAGTTCCCAGCGCCTACCTGGCGGCTCACAGCCACCTATAACTCCAGTTCTGGGGATCTGACACCTTCTGGCCTCCATAGGCACTGCACACTTATGGTGTGCTTAGATACATGGAGGCAAAATATTCATGTATAGAAAATAAAAATAAATCTTTAAAAAAGAATAAAAAAGCATTCAAAGCCAACCTCAGCTACATAATGAATGTGAGACCAACCTGAACTTTATATGGGACTCCACTAAAAAAATCAAAAACTAACTGTGTGTGGCAGACTTCTATAATCCAACATTCAAGAAACAGGCAGAGGCAGGAAGATTGCTGCAAGTTCAAGGTTAGCCTGGTCTAACAGTGAGTTCCAGGCCAGTCAGGGCTACTTGGAGAAACTCTGTGTCAAAACTAAACTAAAATTAGGTGCCTGGCAAGAAATCATCAATAGCCAAGGAGTGAGACACAGAAAGATTCTCCAGAATTTTTAATGTATTCCCATTGTAAAGTGCCTCAAGTAAACTCAAAGAATTCAGAAGGAAGTGATCTGAGATTAGATTCTACAAATTTGGTATGTTTTGCCCCCTGGGACCAAGGCCAGGGACGCCTTCCCTGTCCTCAGCCCTGCTGCCCCTCTTCCTCTTAAGGCCATGTCTGTTCCACTTAGAGCTTGCTTTAGCCCTGGAAGCAGTCACTGAATGCTTCCTCCACAGAGGTGAGTTTGTTAGGCAAGCTGAGGACCACTGTGGCCTCTGGCGTCAGTGAACTTCTGGGAATCCTTCTTCACAAGGGGGTCTTACCACACACCTGCAGCAGCCCAGGGCAGGGAAAGCACTGTATATCCTGAGCTGATGACAGGTGTGCTCTTGTCTTCTGTGCAATGACTCTGCTTTCCTGTGGGCACCAGCATCCAGAGGTATGCAGTCATCCCTTTGTCCACCAACTCAGGCCTCATTGGCTGGGTCCCCCACTGTGACACGCTGCATGCGCTCATACGGGACTACAGGGAGAAGAAGAAGATCCTGCTCAACATTGAGCACCGCATCATGCTGCGGGTACGTGCTGGGGCAGCCAGACCATACCAGGGAGTCCACAACACCCAAGGGCTCACCACTGAGAAGCCTCTAAGGAGAGTACTGCTGAGGAAGGCTTAATGACGTCAGTCCTAAAGCAGATACCCTTCCTAAGAAGCTGAAGGCCAGCTGGTGAAAAGGCTCAGCTTGTAAAAGCACTTGTTAGGCAGGCCTGACAACCTGAGTTAAAACCCCAGAACCAGGGTGGAGAAAACCAGCTCCCAAAAATTGTTCTCTGAGCATGGTGGTGCACACCTTTAATCCCAGCACTCAGGAAGCAGAGGCAGGTGGATCTCTGTGAGTTTAAGGTCAGCCTATATAGTGGTAGACTTTGGTTCAAGGTCTACATAGTGAGTTCCAGGCCACGCTGGGCCCATTACTCAGAGGTCAGTGGACTGTAAGCATCCCTTGCTATCAGAGTACTTTTTTAGGCAGAACATGATGGCACACGTCTTTAATCCCAGCACTGGGGAGGCAGAGGAAGGTGAATCTCTGTAAGTTTGAGGCCAACCTGGTCTACATAGCAAGTTTCAGGCTAGCCAAGCTACATAGTAAAACCCTATCTCAAAAAAAAAAAACAGAGACAATTTTAAAGGAGCCTTGTTTCTCCTTTACATTCTAGGGTTCTTGTGGTCATCAGGCTAGCAACCACTGTTTTTCCCTTGGCAGTGTTATTTCCTTTCTCCTTTGAGCTATGGTGGTAAAACTAGAGCCCAGCCCTGCCTGCCCTAGCCTTGTTTCTTCCTAGATGTGGACTGCTTATAGTGAGCATCCCCCTTACTGACTGGTTGTGTCCTGATGCAGATGGCTCCAGACTATGACCATCTGACCCTGATGCAGAAGGTGGAGGTGTTTGAGCATGCCGTCAACAACACAGCTGGGGATGATCTGGCTAAGCTACTGTGGCTGAAAAGCCCCAGCTCAGAGGTACGGGCCTGTGTCCTGGCAGGCAGCCCCTCCCCACTGCACAGGTGATGGGATGCACACTCCTCTTATGTGGATTATGTATGTATCTCAGGAAAAGCTTTTTGAAACCTGGTTGACTAGACATGGTGACTCAGTACTATAATCTCAGTATTTGGGAAGCTGAGGCAGAAGCTGAAGATCACCATAAATTAAAGTCCAACCTCCACTACATACTGAATTTTAGGCCAACCTGAGCTATACATGAGACCCTGTCTTAAAAAATAAACAGGGCCAGGCATGGTGACACGCATGCCTTTAATCCCAGTACTCCAGAGGCCAAGGCAGTGGATCTCTATGAGATTGAGGCCAGCCTAGTCTACATAGTGAGTTCCAGGCCAGCTGGGGTTACAAGGAGACCCTGTCTCTAAACAAAAAACAAAACCAAAAAAAGCCAAACAGACTGGTAAAATACTCAATAGGTTAAGGCACTCACCACCACTCCTGACATCCTGAGTTCAGTTCCTGGGACCCACAAGTGAACTGGAGGAGAAAACTGGCTCCTCCAAGCTGTCCCATCACCTCAGCTATGTACCTTAGCATGTGTGTGCGTTTCTCTCTCTCTCTCTCTCTCTCTCATGCATGCACGTGTGCATACCACACAATTTTTTTAAAAATTTAACAATCAGCTATTACCTCACTGTTTACCAGAATATCCGTTCTTTCCCTTCTATTTAAAAGATTGCACTTTTTCTACACTGTATTCATCCCTTGGATCTCTTTCTAGAGCTATTTCATTGCTTTTCTGTCTGTCTCTCTTGAAGAACCTGCCATTAATACAAGTCTCTTAATGTTGGCTAGTTCTACTTTTTTCCTCCACAAATAAATTTTATTACCATTCTGTTGATATTTTTTTAAAAAGGGCCACTGAAGCTGGGCTTGGTGGCGCACACCTTTAATCCCAGCAGAGGCAGGTGGATCTCTGTGAGTTCAAGGCCAGCCTGATCTACATAGTGAGTTCCAGGACAGCTGGGGCTAAAGGGAGACCATCTCAAAAAGACCAAAAAAAGAAAAAAAAAAAAAGAAGGGCCACTGAAACTTTTGGAATTACATTGAATGTATCAGATTTCATCTTTACAGTCTTAAGTGGGTGTCCTAAAATGAGTATTTTCACTTAAGTCTTCATGTGTAAGAAAAAGCTTATTCATCTAAGCCCAGCACCTTTCTATAAGGTTTATTTTGAGGCATAGTTTATAATAGTGAGTGAGTTCTTTATTCCATTATACATGCTAATGGATTACTTTAAAATATAATACAGCTGGAGCCAGGTGTGGTGGCACACACCTGTAGTCCCAGCACTTGGGAGGCAGAAGCAGGTGGATCTCTGTGAGTTCAAGGCAGCCTGGTCTACATAGTGAGTTCCAGGCCAGTTGGGCAATAGGGAAACCCTGTCTCAAAAAGACCAAATAAAACAAAAATTAGGATATATATATGTAAAATGAAACTGACCTGGGGTGGTGTAGTGTTTAAACGAGCTGGTTTCAGAACCCTGGTTCAGGTGTGCCCCTTTGTCACAGGTGTGGTTTGACCGAAGGACCAATTATACCCGCTCTTTAGCTGTCATGTCAATGGTTGGATACATTTTAGGCCTGGGGGACAGGTAAGTAAATTCCATTTGTTTCTTTTTGTCTTTCTCCTTTGCAGTTGCTTTGAATGGTTTCATTTGTTTTCTAGTGAAATTTGTGACCATTGAATAAATAACTTGTATTTTACTTATTTATTTTTGAAGGGCAAGCAGGATTTTATTGAGAAGTAACAGTCCCTTGCAGCAAAGAAGGATCCGCAAAATGAGCTGCCTTTAAGTTGTTATTGTAGAATTTAGAGCTCTTGTAAGAGGCCTCTGCTTTACTCAGTCTATTATTGCAGCAGAATTTGGCACACTGAACTCGAGAGAAACAAAACCAGAGGTCTAGAGACCTGCTTCCTCCATTGGTTAATTCAGTGTATTAAAACTATATTAAAGAGGCAGGGAGCCGGGCGTGGTGCCGCACGCCTTTAATCCCAGCACTTGGGAGGCAGAGACAGGTGGATCTCAGTGAGTTCAAGGCCAGCCTGGTCTACATAGTGAGTTCCAGGACAGCTGGGGCTACAGGGAGACCCTGTCTCAAAAAGACCAAAACAAAAAAAGAGGCAGGAGAAATGGAAGAAACAATTTAGGGCTGGGGATATCACTCAGTGGTAGAATGTTTATATAGCTGATAGAGGGCCCTGGGTTTGAGCCCTAGTACCACAAAAAAGTCAAGATTGTTCAGAAATTGACTAACAAGAATGTAAACAAAACTGGTTCTGATATCTGCCCCTTTTCTTTTGGAATCATGTTTCATGCAGTTGTTTAAAAGTAAAAATAATTTTATGCCCCAACCCCCCAAAAATGAAAACCTAAGTGAGGCACCATGGCAACACCTATTGTTCCAGAATGCTAGGCATGGTGGCATGTGCCTTTAATCCCAACACTGGAGAGGCAGAGGCAGGCAGATCTCTGTGAGTTCGAGACTGGCCTGGTCTAGGCCAGCAAATTCCAGGCCATCTGTGGCTGCAAAGTAAGACCCTGTCTCAAAAACAAACAAAAGGACAAAAAAAAAGAAGAACTAAAACCAAATCCTGTAGTCCCAGAACTCAGTGGGTAAAAGTGCTTATCACCAGTCTGAAAACCTGAGTTCAGTCTCTGGACCCTATCCCTGTGATAGTTGCTAGCAGGAATGACAGCACTGGACTACTCCAAGAGGTCATGACTGTCAGAAACTGCTTTGCGTGCAACTGAAGGAAAGATCCCAGGAAAGTATATGTAAGGGCAGATAATAAGTATTTTAAGCTGTGTGGGTCATGTGGCCTGTTACAAGTACTCGCCTCTACCCTTGTAGCCCAGAACCAGCCTGTAGCAGGACAAAAGCCAGTGCGTTAGACTGTGTTCCATTAAAGCCTGAATCACAGAGGCAGTAGGGCCAGGCTTACCTGAGAGCTTTCCTTTGCTAACCCCTGACCTAGAGCTGTCTTGTTGATTGATTCATCAGTGCTGCTCTGTTGATCCTCCCTGCTCTCCCTTATATTTCTCAAAGACACCCATCCAACCTGATGCTGGACCGACTGAGCGGAAAGATCCTGCACATTGACTTTGGGGACTGCTTTGAGGTGAACACTGCCGAAAGCTCACCCTCATTTGATAGTTCAGACAAACTTGTGCTCCAAAGCCCTCCCCTCCCCCTGCTCTTAGTTAGCTTCTAACCCCAGTGGCTGCCCTTACCACACCGTCTCAGAGTAGAGAGAGGGTTCTCCCGTCCTCCAGGCTGCATGCAGGCCAAGACCTTGGGCAGTCCATGCTTATCTTTTTTGTTCTTTTTTTTTTTTTTAAGTCCTTGTGAAAATTCCTATTTCATTGAATTCAATGAGAAGTCTTTCATTTCTTTGCTATAATGTGATCAATGCACATGATGTAAAGAAAAGCCACCCCCTACCTTACTTCAGTTAGAGAAACAATCCAACCCTTTGGCTTTTCCCTTGATTACCTTATAGGTTGCTATGACCAGAGAGAAATTTCCAGAGAAGATTCCATTTAGACTAACAAGAATGTTGACCAATGCTATGGAGGTGAGTGGATCCTGGGTATGCACTGCTTTGAAATGGGGCCAAAACAGTTACACCCTTCTCTGAGGGCAGAACTGACAGTTGGAGCTCATTGGTTTCCCTAAGTGCCTTTGTGGTTTCTGTAGCAGGTCCTGGTTGCTGTGTTAGGAATGAGCTTTGAGGGTCAGCACTGCACATCAGATCTACACTGCCTCATCCCAAGATGCAGCCAGTGTGTCCGCAGTAGCCTGGGTCTGCTCAATGAGGGTGGCAAGGTGCCAGTGAGCCACTGTTCACTCTTGGGTATGTCGCTCTGTCCTTCTCCAGGTTACAGGTCTGGATGGCAACTACAGAATCACATGCCACACAGTGATGGAAGTGCTTCGGGAACACAAGGACAGTGTCATGGCTGTGCTGGAGGCCTTTGTCTATGACCCTTTGCTGAACTGGAGACTGATGGACAGTAAGGGTTATCAAGTACATGGGATGGCTTCTGTATAGCAAGTTCCAGGCCAGCCTGGGATATTTAAAAAAAAAGTGTAAGAGGAATTCCAGGTATTTTATGAGCTAGAACATTCCCACTGTTAAAGTGATAATGAGGAAGCTCTTAATTAGGATGTTTTTCTGGATAAACTCTATACCCTGGTGATTCTTGCTGGTTTGGGCTGCTGAGTAGTAAGTGGGAATTTGAGCATGAAATGTAGGCATTTGTGATTTGGAGCAACAGTGCCTCTGGCTACCCTCTTCCTACTCTCTAAACAACTTACTAACAAATGGCTTCTCATGCACTGTGAATAAATCCCAGTTCACCTTGTATTGTGTGAAAGCCACTGTCTTAGTCCAGATCTGTACTGTAGAGCATTCCCCTGGGTGTCAGAGCCCATGCTGAAGCCCCTCTTACTTCTGAGTTACAGGTCATTGTTTACTCTTCAGGGTTATACTTTTTACTATCAAGCATCTTTTGAGTCAAAGTTTGAAGGCTTTAACAGCTTTTTTCTTTCCCTAGCAAATACCAAAGGCAATAAGAGATCCAGAACGAGGACGGATTCCTACTCTGCAGGCCAGTCAGTAGGTGGGTGTGTCCACCCAGGAGAGATGGCAGACCCTTTCCTTTTGTCCAGAATGCTTCCATTTTAAGGTCATCTTTACTTACATAGCAAGTTTGAGGCCAGCCTAGGCTATCTGAGACCCTGTCTGGGGAAGAAAAAAAAAAAAAGAGCCAGCAAGGTAGCTCAGTGGGTAAAGGTACTTGCCATGCAAGCCTGGCAACCTGAGTTCAATCACTGGAACCCACATTAAAAGTGGAAGAAGGGCTGGGCGTGGTGGCGCATGCCTTTAATCCCAGCACTCAGGAGGCAGAGGCAGGCGGATCTCTGTGAGTTCAAGGCCAGCCTGGTCTACATAGTGAGTTCCAGGACAGCTGGGGCTACAGGGAGACCCTGTCTCAAAAAGACCAAAAAAAAAAAATTTTTTTTTTAGAAACGAGTAACACAAACCTTGCTTTCTCCTTTCTCACTTGAGGCATCAAAAGAATAAAGTATACAAAGAATTAGAAGCTAAAGCCAGGCATGGTATGGTAGTGCATGTCTATAATCCCAGTGCTTGGGAGGTAGAGGCAGGAAGTTCTGTAGTTTAAGGTCATCTTTACTATATAAGGGCTACATAAGACCCTCTGTCAAAAAACAAACAAAAGAATTAAAAGCTAATAGCTTCTTAGTATTTGAATTTTCTGCTAATTTGATTTTTTTTTTTCCCTTAGAAATTTTGGATGGTGTGGAACTTGGAGAACCGGCTCATAAGAAAGCAGGAACCACAGTACCAGAATCCATTCACTCTTTCAGTAAGTCGCCCTCTGAGGAACTGCAGTAGTGACAAGCTCATTCAGCAGGTAGCAACTGTGTTGAACCATAAACTGGAAAGGGGTCAGCAAGATAGGTAACAAAACCATGTTTGAGAGAAAAGGTTCCATGACTTTCTCATTAGATGCTGAGGACAAGATACACACAGAGAGCTGCTCAGCACTCTAATAAACAGCACCATTGAACTTGTGTGATGATTTCCTTCTTACTGTTATTTCTGTTTTTGTGATTTCAGTTGGAGATGGTTTGGTGAAACCAGAAGCCCTAAATAAGAAAGCTATTCAGATTATTAACAGGGTTCGAGATAAGCTCACTGGTGAGTGTATGTATGGGTGCTTAAAGGGACATGAGGCCTGGGCTGAAGAGATGGCTCAGTGGTTAAGAGCACTGACTACAGCTGGGTGTGGTGGTCCATTCCATGCCTTTAGTCCCAGAGGCAGGCGGATCTCTGAATTCAAGGCCAGCCTGGTCTAAATAGAGAGTTGCAGGACGGCTAGGGCTACAGAGACCCTGTCTCAAAAAGACAAAAAAAAAAAAAAAAAAAAAA